ATGAGGGCCATGTCCGGTTGAGTTTTGAGTATCTCCAAGGAAGCAGATTCCAAAACTTCTCTGTGCACCTTTTCCAGTGTTTCTGAAAGTTTTTTTTCTTTTTTTTCTTCCCCTCTACTATCTGTTTAGCATTTCCCTTGTTCCCACTTGTCTCTGTTGCCTCTTGTGCTGTCGCTGTACATCTCCATGAAGGGTCCACCCTTGTGTTAGGTCGTTGGTGACAGCAACACAACCTCCCATGAGCTTCCTGTTTCCTGGCTGAACATTCCCAGCCCTCTCAGCCTCTCCTCATACGTCAGGGGCTCCAGCACCTCTGACCATCTTGATGGCCTCCCTGGACTCACCCCAGTGTGTCCACGTCTCTTGCGCTCAGGAGCCCCAGCATGACACAGCACTCCAGATGGGGACACTGAGGGGTCGCTTCCCTTGACCACTTTTGCTCCTCCAGCCTGGGATGCTGTTGGCCTCCTCTGCCACAAGGGCGCATTGGTGACTCAAGTTCAACTTGATGTACACCAGCACCCCAAGGTCCTTTTCTGCAGAGCTGCTTTCTACCCAGGGAGCCCAACTTCTACTGCTGCTCTGGGCCCTATAAGGGAGAGGCTGCTGCTCATTTTAAAGAATGAGTGCTGAGGCTATCCTTAACAACTAGTAATGTACTAGGTATTAATGTATGGCTGTTTTAATTGCAAGCAATGCTATCACCATGTATATAGATGCAAACTTCCCTGAGTAAAAACGGCATCTGATAAAAGAGGTCAAGTGTTCTAAATACTGATCCGTTAAGCTGAAATTTTTCAAATGGCTGTTCCTCCTGCTCTCCCGTGCTTGTTTGCTCATTTCTTTCAGCTCTTTAGTGTCAGTTCTGTCCCTGACACTATCAAAGGAATGCTTGGAAGTTATTGTCCTCTCTTGGGAACATCTGGTTCCCCTTTGTTTGAAATGGGAATTTGAAATGGGGAAAGACCTCTGTGGTGGTGTTGCTGTTTCCTCATGAAAAATTCCTAAAACTTTGCCAAATCGTGAGTCTCTCAAAGCAGCAGTTTGCAAATGCCCTAAATAAATTGACTGTGTTCCTTGAGCAAAAGGTGCTCAAGAAAGCTGAAATCTAAACATTTTCTTGAACCTCACGGATCTCTTTGGCCAAATATTGTAAATGCTAACTTACAGAGTAATGGAGCATGCTCTGGCATAAAGCTGAATAGGTGTCCTCTGCAATTCGTGGTGTTTGTGGCCTAATACGATGCTGAAATACAGGCAGAAAGTCATTCTCTTCCTGTCCTCCATCCTGCCCAGGCTCTGTAGGGTAGATAAGGAAGAGCATCTTGAAAATGTGAAGAGGAAGTAGGAAGCAGAGTAGATAATGCACTTTAGAAACAGATAGAAAAAGACAGGACTCAGGGAGAATGAAAGAAAATGTCAAAAAGTCCCTGATTTTGCAGGACTCTGAAGTCAGGCTTGAAGAAGACGGCATCCATTTGTTAAGACAGAAGTGTGATCACTTTAGCTGTGGAGCCATTACCCTGACAGGTACATGTCCTCAATGCAGAGTTAAAAGATCCTAATGTTGACCACCTTGAATGTAGGTTTTGGTATGTAGTTTGAAATAATGCAGGCTTTCAGAGCTAAGCACTTGAACACTGGGAAACCCCATGTTGAAGGTTGTCAGCGCAACTGTAATTTCATCCCTCTGTTCACATTTAGAATTGGATTCTACTGGACCTACTGGATCACAGAGATCGTGGGTGATGCTGTACGTATCATTGGAGATGAGCTTCTCACAAGTGGCCTTGATCTGTGTGTCCGTTGACTGATGTGCAGCTTGCTACTTCGTGATCTTACTCAGCAAAGCGCCCAAGGCTTGCAGCAGTGACCATAGTCAGAAGGAGCTGACTTCTGAACGTATCAGGTACAAAGAACTGGGCTTCAGGTGTCTCAAGTGGGCATCATAACTCATCAAGAGTGATAGCATTATCCTTAATCAACTCTGGGATGAAACCTCTGTCTGTGGATGGGGCTATTAGATCTGACCTCCCCCAAAAGAGTGTTACAGTTTATGGAGCTTTCCGGGGATTTCACAGGAAAAATCCCTGAGGAAATGAACAGTAATAACATAGTAAATGAGATATCTGTCCATGAACTGAATAATGAGTATTAAATTTTACATTGCACAACTTTTATTCAGCACATACAGACTGTAAGCAGAGACTTGGTGGAAGTGATAGGACATAGGCCAGTGTGTAATTGCACAATGTTCCTATGTGTAGGCAACATCGTGGTGCAATCTGAGGCCGCACTTGACAGCTCCTTACTCTTCTTTTGATGCTTCACTTTTTAACCTTTCGTGTTGTATTAAAAAAAAAAAAGCGCTGTATTTTTACAGAGATGCTTCAGAATTAGTATATGCATGAACTTACTACAGCATTAGTATTTTCATGTTGTGAATTACCATGTATTTACTTCTCTATTCCTTCCTATTTTTATTTTATCTAACACCTTAAAATAGTTCCGGGTGAGAAAGACAAATTGCAAGTTACATTTTTGAGTGTAGGGGGAAGGAAGGGTAGACCTATTCCTACACAATTATGAGTTTATTATGCAGTAGCTCTTACTCGGTGTGGTTTTCTTTTGTATTTTCTTTGTCAAGCACAAAAAATAAATGTAATTAGTGTTGAGCCAGTTGTCAGTCTGCTCTCTGTGGCAGGCTGATGAAATCCAGTTTTTCTCAAGTTTGAGGAATGGTAAGCACAAGGCAACGTAGTCCTGCACACATATGATTTAGTTTACATGAAAGGCACCTTGCTGCTGTGGACTGTCATTTTAAAGTCATAAAAAACAGTGTTTACTGTTTCCAAGTGTAGATGCTAAATACAAAAAGAATAAACTGCCGAACACAACACATGGCAGTTTGAGGATCAGACTAGAAGTGGGAGGATCATCAACTCTGGGGAAGCCAGTAAGAGTCAGGAATGCAGTCAGATGAGCAATGTGGCTGGTTTTCAGAGCCACATTTACATCTTTGGTGAAAAGCATCTCAGAAACAGTGATTAGAAGAGATCTATCTAACCCTGAGATTACTTGATGCCTTTATTTGATCCCTGTCCACCATGCTGTCTAAAAAATGGTCTGCTGTTTCCAGAGGGGAAGGGTAGATGTTCTCACTGCCTCAGTGCGTCTAGGCAAACTTGGCCATACAGTTTTAAAGCCAAGTAAACCCGACTTTTTAGCTGCACTGCCCTTTTTTTTTTCCTTTTGGATGGGGATTTTTCATCTTGATGTTGTGGCATGAGGTGAAAGTCTTGATTTCATTATTGCTGAGGGAGGAGGTGGAAAACCTTTCATTTCCTAAAGCTTTCTCTATATGATTGAGTTGAATCTATGTCGCTTATGTTTTAAATTCAAATGATTATCTTACATGTGTGGATTCCTGAATGAAAGCTCTTCTCTCAGGATCTTAATGTACTTTCTTGGTTTACAACGCTTGTAAAAGAATTGGTTTAAGTTGAAATTCACTTTTTTGCTTCAGTGTAAATGTGATGCTAATCAGGACACTTCTCAAGACCAGTATATACCCCCAATGAACTATACGAGCCCAAGAGGCTGTGTCTGTGATGGAATCTTTCCCATCACCTCCCTAACACCTTTAACACATCTAACAATCCCATGAAAAAGATTATAAACTTGCAGTTCTAATTCACATTAGATCTAGGCCTATTATACTGGGTATGCACACATGCAACTTTTCTTAGCATGGGAATAACTGATGATCCTATGAAGGGATGTGTCATTCATGGTGGATAGCATGTTTGTAAACGCTGTGAAGATACTTTAATTCCTGGAAAAAACAAAAATGAATTCTCCAGACACAGGGACCTGGAGATGTCCAGCTTGGTGCTGCTTCTTAGCTTGGTTCTCTTTCTTACTAATTTAAATGAGGTCATGCAACGTACAGCTTTTGTGATGGGAAATTTTCAGCTTCCTGCTTGCTGTTAACACTTGCTGCAGGGTTCTTGCTGAAGCTTTCAGATTTCATTTTCTGCAAAGACTTCAGGTCTAGAGTTTTAAGTAAACAACATACTTAAAGGAGACATATATTCTGTTATCATGTAACTGGTCTGTACAGATTACGCATTCTGCGGCTTTTTAATGAAACTTGTAGTTAAGTACATTTGAGGCAAACACATAGAAAGCAGATCCTGATCTGTAACAATAGTGTTGCTTTATTCCTTCAGTAGGATGTTTCCATCATACAAAAAAGAAGGGTTGGATGGATGGTTTTACTTAAAAAATGCTGCTATTGCTGTGTTGTTTTGTTTGATGCCTGGTACACTACGATCAATGATAGCATCTAGAGACCCTAAACTTGCCCTTCCTATTTTTATTTTTTTTTATTCTGTCTTGATGCTTTCCACACCATTTCTCAAAACTTTTCTTTCCCAACTGTATTGATAAATGCCATTTCTGTTTCTGAGAGGCTTCCTGCTCTTCTCCCAGGAAAAGCAAGCTTAGAATGGCAGAGAACTTGTGACATTTGAGGCCGTTGATGTAATGAAGGGTTAAGATCTAGAGGAGATTTCTTGAGGGAGCAGTGGTGGGAAGCGTTCAGTTATTAACATATTTACACATACCAATAGCTGAAGGCTTCCTATTATTTGCTCAAGAGTTTGTTTTTTTCTGAAAGTGAAAGGCATTTTTGGGGGACTGGGGATTTTCTTATTATTCTTTTGGATTTGTCTTCAGGATTTGTCTTCTCTCTTGTACTTTTTTAGTTTCTAAGCTCTGTAGTTTCTAGCACCAGAGTTCTGGATCTGAGATCTATCACTGTATAAAATACTGTGAACAAATTTAAAATCTCATATTTTGGGTTATTTTTGATGTAGCTATCTATGTTGTAGTTATAACTATGATGTAATTATTAGTTATGAACTTTCAACCCTTGTTAACCAGTATTTTATTTACTTTAAACTTCTTTCCTTCTGTTCCTCTGTTCTCCAGGCAGGATGAAAGACCGGTTAAATGAGCTGCGTGAATTTGCCAGATTACACAACCAACAGTTTTCTGATAGTGAGGATGATGAAAATTCACCCCGTGATGTTCTCCTTTATGAGACTGATTATGCCTTGGAAATTCTTCATAAAGACATACAGAACATCCGGACAGAAAATGACCACCTAAAAGAGGATGTCAAGCGGCTCAGAAAGCAAAACAGCCGCTTCCTTACTTCCATGCGCCGTATCAGTAGCATCAAACGAGATACTAATTGTATTGCCAGAGACATCAAGGCCCGTGGAGAAAGCATCCATAGGAAACTCCAGATAATGAGAGATTTCAGCGAGGATGCAATAACGAAATACGGGGCTATGTCTGTCATTGCCAGGGTAGCGAAGAACCACTATGTTGACCTCATGCACGCCTTCCAGAAAGCTATGTTTGAATACAACGCAACAGAGATGAACCAACGGGAGAACTGCAAAATTCGAATTCAGCGGCAGCTAGAGATCATGGGCAAGGAAGTTTCTGGCAACCAGATTGAGGAGATGATTGAGCAAGGCAAGTGGGACGTCTTTTCTGAGAATCTCTTGTCGGATGTTAAGGGGGCTCGCTCAGCCTTGAATGAGATAGAGACACGTCATAAGGAGCTGGTGAAGTTAGAAGGTCGCATCAAGGAAGTTCATGAGCTCTTTCTGCAGGTGGGCCTGCTAGTGGAGGAACAGGCGGACACCTTCGATGTCATTGAGATAAATATGCAAAATGTTGAGGACTATGTAGGAGATGCTAAAGAGCAAGTGAAAAAAGCTTTGGAATATAGAAGAAAACACCCCCTCAGAACAATCCTCTGCTGCTGCTTATCCTGTTGCAGAAAGTGACTATCCCACTGAAGCTATCACAGACTGACTCAAATGTCTTCAAAATGAGGTGTTCTTTCCAGTGACTTTTCTGTAATGACAACCCCTAGAAATGGGGGGGCTGTTTTGCAGGGTTTTTTGTTCATTGCCTTTTCCAAAATGTGCTGAAGGCTGTTCTATTTGACAGCTGCTAGAAATGTTGATAAAACTATTTTTAATCTATTTTTAATTGAAATGTACTCTCTTGCTGTAACTGGAGGTGCAAGAATATCTCTGCAATACTTGTTTCAGATAGGCAAGAAAGAGGAATGAATGATGGGCTGATAACGTAGCCTAGGGAAGATGAGAAATTTCAAAACGTAACTTTATTCGTGTTTGTCAAAGTGAGTCTGCAGGCGGTGCAGCCTTACTGCCTGGAGCGACACAATACACCACAGAATCAGGAGGTTTCAATCTTAATTAGTTTGGAGCCTGCTCGATGCAAATACTTGAACAGATTTTTGCTCTGTTCATTTGACAAAATACTGAGCCTGTTAACAGGAGTAGGACACAGAACTAGTTTCTATTTCAACTTGATTTCCATCTGTCAGGAATTTTAACAGAAGTAACTGCACCTTAAATTATAATACGCACGTTATTCTCCGTTTGTGTGCAAGTGGTTTCTTTTCTCCATTTTGAGTACCCACAACTTTGTCAAGGTGGCTAGAACACTGCAATACTGAGGCATCTCACTGACTTTTAACTTCAGCCACTCTCTGTACCCTTAATTTCAAAACTGCCATGCTGCTTTGCTTCTGATACATTTTTCTGCCAATTAACACTTCAGCCAGAAAAGATGCATGCAGTGGCCTTCTGCAGAAGCATCCCCCACAAGAAGACAACAGTTGGGGGCTAAAGAAAGCCTTTTAGGGTCTCCTATGCTGGCACATGCACACAAGAAGTTTTAGTGGAAGGATTATCCTGTCAATAGACTTTTATTTTTTTATAAGCATTGATTTAATATGGATTTTTTTTAATAGATATTTTAAATAACATGAAGGATTAAAGCTATTAACATTCCATTTTACTGGTGTACAAAAACTAAGGCTTTTCTCCTGTTAAGAGGAATCTCCACCTGGGAAAGAAAATACACATATTTCTTCAGTACACCTGAAGAAGAAAGAAAACATTCTAATGTCATTTCAGTTCTCTTTTCAAGCTTAAAAGTAATCTCTCCTTTTGTGTAAGGAGAGTCTGCCTGCAGTAGGTTTGGAATATGAGGAGGGAATAGAAAATTTGCAGCCCTGGAAACCACTGAGCATTGTCAGTGAAGCGTGGATTCATAAGGTCTGGCGAGTGATTATAGCTCCTGCTTCTGGAGGTTTTCCAACTATAATATTTCTAAGTGGCTTCCTGATACACTGTGATCTACTGCTATCCTTTGAATTAATGCAGGACATTTTTTCAGAGGCTAGTGACTTTTTTTTAAAATCTCTGATCCTATTTGTACCTATTTTAATAAATATATTTAAACATTTCAAATATTTTGCATTTGGGAGTTTTCCTCAGGAGATGCACAGAGCCATCTTCCTTCACCAATCGCAATTAAAAGTTTCCCTTCTGATCTTTTGCACACAAATTTTGTATGTGAAAAACCGCCCATACATTTCTTACTACTTATATTGATATAACCAAACAGCAAAATAAATTCAGCTTCCAAGTTTTCATATCCTAGTGGGAAATGCTTCTTTACCAGGCAGGCTTTTTTACAAACACAGAAGCTAAATGGATAACTCTTCTCAGAAATGGAAAGTCTCTTTTGCTGAAGCACCTGTCTGTGATAACGTGGAAGAGCAAGGAACACTGATCTTCTAAACTAGAAGATATTTTGATGTTCAATGATGTCCTGATGATATCATTATTATGCTTGCCTGAGTACCTCCCCAACAACCCAATCTTCAAACTTGAAGTGGGAAAAAGGAGGGTGTTCTGACATCATTACCAGTAGCTTTGGTGCTACTGAGAAGACAAAGTTGTTTACTCTGTAGGTACTGCCATTCAGTGCAATGGAACAGTGCATTTGTAGAGAAATACCGTAAACCTCCAAGGGCCAGCATGTGGGCATAAATCAATGAAGAATAAAATGTATTTCATTTCATCTGCATATTTTTAGCACTCACCAATGCTTTTGATAAAACTGTGTACATGTTTTTTTTGTTAGTTTATTTTTTGCACATATTTATGTCTACAAATGAAATAAAATATTTAATAAGAAAAACGGAAAGTGCAGAGTGGTGTACATTGAATCAGCAGCTCTGAATAGTTTCTTGCACTGTTGAAGTTTAGTTTAAAAGCTACTGGACTAAACTCCAAGTTGGTGAACGGAGATTAAACAATGCCTTAAAAAAAGTCCTCCTAATACTTGTTGCCACAGTAAATCAAATCTGTTGCATATTGTGATAGACTTACATTTTTTCCTGTAAAACCCATGAAGAATGAGTTTCGTACATTCTAAGATGATTCTTTACTGCAAGAAAAAAAAACAAATTTATTCTGGGAGTTCTGAGAGATCTTGATGATTTCATTAGTAGACATGCAAAGCTTATATTCAAATCTTTAGTCTGATTTGAGGCACAGGGAAACAGAGTGAAAGCATGAAGAAAAGATAATTGTAGATCTTCTCTCCTGACTTAAGGCTGTTGCTGCAAGAAAGAAACTGAGAATTATTGAAATACCAGCTTGAGACCCTTTAAAACTATTTTTAAGTTGCATTGGGAATTATAGGCACTTAAAAAATTACTTCCAGTAACTGAAGAAATCATCCTCTTCCTTGCAAACATGTTCATTGCTTAATACTATGGGGGGTTTTGTATCCTCCAGTTGTGTAAGAACTCAAATTTTCCCCGCCCATGAACTTGCCTAGTCACAGTTAAACAGACTTTTGAAAAAAAAAACAAAAAAAACAACAAACCAGATCTCACTATAGTTGCAAAGACTTATGCCACAGGATGAGTGGAAGAAGATGATAAAAGTAGCTTGGTAATATGTCCGCATACTAATAACAGAAGCCGCAGAATGGACATCTTCCTGCTTGCTAAGGAAAGCTGCCTTTTCATGCTGAAAGTCAGCACGACTCCTGCGGAGATGTGCGTAGCATATCCTATGGGTGTGGTGGTTTTTTTTTCCTCTTTCCTCATGTGGCAAACCCTATAGCTGGATTTGAGGGGGGAGTAGTTAAAATGTGCGAGGGGCTGCTTTAGCTTTTAGAGTTGCTCTTACTTCGGTTTTGTGTCCTACTGAAAGCGGCAGAAGCTTCATGACCACTCGCCATCCCTGAATCTCAGCCCTTCCTGAGGAGGAGAAAGGAGACCTGGCAATAAGGCACACCTTGCTCCATCTAAAATGTAACAAGAGCATTGCATAAATATAAAAGAGCAGAAAATCCCCTATTACAAAATATAGTGTTTGGTATATAACAGTGAACTTCCTGGGTATGTGTATGAGTCTCCACTTCATCCTACGGGATTTTTTTTTTTTTTTTTTGAAACATGGGTTTAATTTTAGAGAAATGGCAGTGGAACGATTGTGACCACAAAGCAAGGGACCCACCATGGACACATGCACTTGAGCAGGCATCTCTCTGGCACGTGTCTTGAAAGAAACTTCTTGAAGTAAAGGTATAGCTCTTACTTTAAGACCCAGGTATCTTTTTTCTGGAGGCTGAACTAAGTAGCTAAACCGCTGGTTTTCTAATCTAACCTACATTAAGGATGTTTTGAATGCACAGCCCAGGTTGTACTTTATAACTTTTCAAAAACAAAACAGGTTCTCTAGATTTTTGAGCCACAGGAGATATTTGGAATTGATCTGAAAAAGGAAAGAGCTGCTCGTGATTGTGTTTCTATCTCTAGGAAAAGTATCACAGATATGATGAAGGCAGGAAACAGTATCATTTATTAGATACTGTATGTGGTGATTACAGTTAATCTATTTCTGATGCAATGTGGTTTTCACATGGAGCCATGGTATTTGTTTCTCTAACATGCGAGAAGGCAGTAGGAGATCTATCTTCTTCCATGTTTCTAGCATATTATATAGCGTCTTCGTGATAGCTGAGCCAAAGCCAGTAACAGCCAGCGGAAGACAGCTCCACTGTCACACCTTACCGTACAGCACATACATTGTTAGGGAACAAAGTCTTAATAGGAAAAAGTAACATTTCACTGTTTCCCAGAAATAATGTTAGGCATGAACAGAGAATAAGTTAACCTAACTGATGATATTTTTCTGCTCAATACTTTGCTGAAAGGCACAGCCCTACTGAACGGGGAGCAATGCTAGCTATGGTATGATGCCCATTTCAAGCAAATGATACAGCGTGGTAAGTTCCAGTCAAAGAGCTGTCCTTTCATTCACAGGCTCCAGCACGTGAATAAAACTAAGGAAAAAGAAGGTGTGAGTTTCACATCTGTTTTTCATGCCTGCAAAATGTTGACAATTCACTTTTATTGTGTATGGGAAGTGTTTTCCTTCACAACCATACCTAGTGTTGCTGGGGTCTCAGAGCACCAAGAGCTGCAGAGGTTCGGCACCACCTGCACCTGAAGATTGGAGGCCCAGACTCCTTACAGAGGGCCACCTTAAACCAGGGTGTCTTAACAACCGAGCAGGGGACATGCTCCTGCTCTGCTTCAGGGGAAGCAGACAGCCTCTGTGTGCTCCTCTGGTTCGCTGGAAGCAGACTCAGTCCCGCATCCCCGGCCTGTGGTACTGAGCACATGTCTCTCATCCCTCGGGGGCAGCCTCAATGGCGGCAGGTTTGGTGGGATGGGGGATGTCCAGTTTCTCCTCTGGAAAAGGGGCAACGAAGGCAGTGGGAGTGGGAGCCGGTGCGGGGGAAGGCTGGCAATGGGGCACTTTTCCTTTCCCCTCCTGACAGGGGGGAAGATGGATGGGTGGTCCCAGCGCAGGCACTAACTGGGCATATTGCAAATACGCGCTGCCATAGACCGGGCATGCAGTGGTGATTGGCAAGAAATCTT